TAAATAGAAATGTTTTGTGTACAATATAAAAAATAGCGTAAACAAATATAATAGTCAACTTTGGTTTGCCTAAATATGGACAGATCTCCTTGATTGGAGTTCCTAATTATGGCGTTTTTTCTTATCTTAAAAAACACATTTCTCATGTTGATGACTGACAAAAAAGCTGACCAGTTTAATTCACTTTTGTTACATCCAGTGAATAGAAATTTGATCATTAATTGTCCGGACAGTCTCACTATTTGTAACATTTTCATTCAGTTGAAATACATAATTGATTAAAAACTGACAAAGTACATAAAATATAAATTTTCTTCCAAGAGGAGTAGAAAATAAATGAAGTACACTGGAACAGTGATATGTGGTTCGCAATACTTGATACTTCTACACAGACGGAACGTGATAGCGTGCGTACCATAAAAACTATGTAATTTCATGATAGATAAAACAAATATAAGGCTGTAAATGTAATACTTAAAAACAATCAGAGAGAAAATGTATAAGTGTAAGCACAAACACATAACATAGTAATATTATACAATAAGAAAAACTAAGTTTACAGGAAAGACAAACAATAGTTGTGTTAAATATATGTAGAATTATTTTCTTTTCCATTTGACAAGCAACGAGTATCACGGATATTGTTTGCATAACAACCTGTACATGTCATTGTGGGTTATACAACATTCTATCAATACACGCTGGTCATATTTGTGACTGTCCAATGAACACTATCCACTGTGTTACATTGTCAGTGTAGTAAATGGATAATAGCTGCTAGGACCTATGAATATGTCATATCAAATATATATAAAATATCAAAAATAAAAAATATATATAATATCTATGATACATTTTATATGAATAATATTTTATATGCTTTCGAAAACTGAGCATTGCCTGAAAGCTTTATATGAATAGACACTCCAGACAATTATTATTATTATTATTATTATTATTATTATTATTATTATTATTCACGCTGACCTTATGGTTTGTATATGAAAGTTGAAACCTTATTTTATTTAAAAAATAACCTCAATAATAAGCATTCGCATTTCTTGACGATTTGTGACAACAATGCGTTTCCATCTGGCAACGACATGTTTTCCTTACAGGGAATCGAACAAACCTATCAGAAAAACATGGAACGCTTGTACCATGGAAACCTATTTTTAACGGCAGTGCGAACAATGCCCCAGTCGTGTGAACAGCAACAACAAAAACCACATTGTAAAATCCAATCTTATCATAATTCACAGATGTGACAAAATCAGGATAAATCTATTGTGAATGGATAAGTATAAATATATTCATTGATTGCTGCAAACTCGTTTGGATAGTTGTTTTGTTAAGAATCTGGAATCCAATGGTATGCATCGGCTTATATTAAACAGCTTATCATAAAATGTGTAATGTTTGTTTCATGTTCCAGAATACGTTATCCATACCTGCTGATTTTAATAACCAATATATCCATGAAAAATGCACTCCAAGAAATAATTTGGTGATGTTGAAAACTCATAAGAGTGGAAGCAGTACTTTACAGAACATCATCTTAAGATATGCGGAGAAACACAACTTAAGTGTTGTATTGCCGAAAGAAGGGCACCAACTTGGTTATCCAGAAAACTTTGATCTAGCTGATATCATCCGTGCTCCCTGGGGCCAGTACAATATTCTTACGAACCACGTAAGATTCAGTCCAGACAGTAAGTTGATGCTACAATTATTTGCCTATGAATGTATTTGTTAGCATAGATGAGATAGTACCTGCTCTCACAACGTTCGTTTCGTGAAGCACAGTAAACTTTTCAAAATACGCTCTTAGTATAGGATTAATTCTGCCGTACGAAGAATCTGGAATAATAAGTCCGGCACGAAATAAGAGTCCGAATACAATGGCATTGCCTAATGTAAAATATACCATCCCTTTATTTTTCGAAATGTGTAATATAAATGTGTATATAATTGACAGGCTCAATTTGTGACAGGTGGGTCCTAAACGCGAGATTTGCATAATGATTAACTTATAATTATTCATAATCTAGCTTAACGGACGGTGGTCGTCGTGCCGCACCCTGTTCGATATGGACTCATAGCCGCGAGCACAACGCTTGTAAAATACGTGTGTTTGTTTACATGAAATTCGAACAAGCGCTGCGCGACGACCATTGCCCTTTAAAATATCACATATCCCCCAAAACAATAACGA